TCCCCCCCCCCAACCAACAGGCCCATAATGTCTCGTAATGAATCTCAGAATAATCACAAAAAGAGTAATTGGTCAAAAATTCAGCTAAACAAAAACAGTGTAATCTACAGTCTTATCCCAGACTCTAAACTGAATGTGATCATAGTGTAGCTTCCGTTTTAGCATATCTCATAACTACCTGTTCATAAAGTTTCCTTAAATTCTTTTCCATTGGACCCACAATTTTTTTCTTAAAGTTAAAGCAACAATAGCCCAGTAATGCAGGATTGGGAAGAGATGAAAAACAGCACTTAATGTACATGATATATATTCTTTGTATTCAAAACACACACATGACGTGTACAGTTTGTACAAAGTGAAATAAATTGGCACCTGTAAGTCGGGAGAATAGATTCAAGAAAGTTCTGGTGCCTTATGCACACAACAGTAATGAGCTTTTTTAGTTTTAGTAAGAGTTTTACGGCGCTCGCAACTGCATAAGGTCATATGAACGGGCAATAATGGGCAATGGTGTGTCTCTATACCAACAGTGAGTGTATCACACTGTGTAGGGATGTCCTGTTGGGCTCATGTCATCTGATACTCTTGATCATGCATACTGGGTGATTTGAATTTGAGACAATTGCGAGGGAAAATTTGCAATATCTTTTTTAGGCATGCCGTTCGACAAAGCCGTAGGGTGTTTGAGAAAACAGTGTTGTCATTACAAAGAAAAAACCCCATTGTGGTTCAGTTGTGGAATGACATATTGTACAAACCATCCGTGATTTCGAGCTTTGAGTGTTTGTGTTATCTGTGCCCGGCTGTACTGTAGACGACTATTTCAAGTCTCACATATGTTTATCAAACCGACAAGAGGCCCGCAAAGGGTACTCTGACTGCGTGAAAAGCAGAAAATCATAAAAATCAGCAGTTTGGAAATGAAACTTCTTTGCAACATTTTAAAGCTGACATTTAGAGAATTAGAAGTAATGTATGTCATAGTAATAGTTCCATGCTTTAACCCTAGAGGTATGCCCTGGGGTCATTTTGCACCCTTGGGGTTGTACTCTTCACATTTTAGAATACTTCTAGTGCGAAGATCTCTTTGAAACTTTCAGTATTTCTCCAAAAAACATTTTGATAGACTGCTATGCAAAGCGTACGGATCGGATTAACGAGTAAATTTCCTCTTTGGAAAGTGGTGGCACAGAGTCCCCCACGTTGTATGGATACGATTGTAAAATACGACGTATGGATAGGGTTAAGAAATGAAGGGTCACACAGCTGTTCTTATGAAGCTGGGTCAACCTACGACCATACAATAAAGAACTTGTTCCTCTGTCATAAGAACAGCCAGTCTGAACTCTTAACCACTATACTTTAAAAAAAACAACAACTGAGTGTTTAAGGGGAGAGACCCATATTCAAATACCTTGTGAGATGGAAAAGGCCTCTTTGAAAAAGCCAGGGACATCTTCGTTGTCTCAACAGAAAGGACCTTAAATATTGCACCTGCAGAAAAAAAATCCATGCATGATAAGAACTAATTTAAAAATGTAAAGACAATGCAAAAGCAGAAAGATGACAAAATATATCCATTGAAAATATGAAAATGTATAGTCGAACCTTCTTTTAGCAACAAATATAATACTCCAGTGGACCACCACCACATGACAATTCATATCCAATATACATATAAAAAACAATAAAGTTTATCAAGGTGCTCAGAAACCTTGGGACTCTCCATTTAAACAAAAAAGCATTGCATATGGACATTGACGAGATAGTTCTCAACAAAATATCCCAAGCCGTATGAAGAATCAAACAACAAACAGCACCATTTGAGAAGCTCTGACATAAATTTCTTCTCTCACCTATTCTGATCCAATAAGCCTCTTTGTCAAATTCAGCATTTTCCTCTCGTTTGCTCTCACCATCTGAAAAATCAGTTTAAAAAAATAAGATTAACTCTTTGCAGATGCAGGGTTCGAGACAGCTGCATTCGCTGATGACGCATGAATTTAAGCCTTTTTTAGGGGTCCATAAAAACATTACTTTTAGAGATAGAACAAAACGGTTTTCTGTTACAGAAACTACAACAATAGAACTTTTTAGGTACTAGCATCATTTAGCCAATAAAACAATAGCTTTGATGCAGTTTATTGAAGAAAAAGTGCTCCATCACACAAACATAAAAAAAAAAAAAATTCCTCCAGGCATAAGTAGATGCACCTCTTCCTCATCATCTGGGTCAGGAGAACCATTGTCTGCTAAAGAACTACAAGCTTCACTTTCTAAATCAACAACTTCTCCATCTTCTTCGTCAGATCCATCTTCCATCACAATTTCAAGCGCATCGAAAACCGTTAGACTTCTCCTGGACGCTGCCATTTTCGGTAGCACTTTCGCTTACTCAATGCGTTTATGGCTTAGAACAAAAATGCTTCGAAAGACAGCGTCAGTTCAATTAGTCAACGCGAAAGATCAAAGGAATATAAGTGTATAAAAATGGCAAAACTTTTATTTTCCTAGTTATCAAACTTGTATCCCTTATGATGTGTACCACAGGAATATTTAAAATCCGTCGGACACATTTGTCTGATGCGTCGACTAGCGTAAAACAGCCTGTCGGACAAATGGGTCCAAGGCGTCGGCAATAAGTTAATGAAACTGAAATACAGCTGCTTATTTTATGTTCCCGAGCCAGTCCAGTTCGCATGACAAACAATTATTTTTCTTTCAAATTCTAGATCATTCTAATGAACAACCAGCACATATTGATCTAGAAGGGTAATAGTGGGCATAACCACACTTGTAATGACTTTATCAACTTATGACAGGGGGTTATTCATGTATTCATAACACTGATTTATAGAAAGCTTGTGTGCGCTATTACAGATAGGGTGTTACTTTCATTGACGATTAATACACTGTACCCCCATGGTAATCATGGCGAAAACACATTTGACCATAATTTGATGTCTTGCAATTAGGTTTGATAGGCTATCTCTCCATATCCGCACGCGCATCAAAAAGTAAATTGTTTAGAACCAGAAGTAATCGTCGGTGGGGTCAAAACTTGTATCCCCAAAAGGGACCCAGATTCTTAAGTAGTACCAAGTAAACCCTTCTCCCTCCGAGACCTAACATTGACAACACACTCTATGGAACATTACAGCAACTGCAGCAGACCTGCACTTATCACTACATGGCATTGGACAGAAGGGCGATAGCCCAGCTGTTGCTGGATCGATAACAACAACAACAACAACAACCAAGTAAAATAGCTGTAAGCATCTTTGTCTTGAAGACGACCAAATTAGTTCACTTTTGTGCTATAACATAATTTTTTTTCTTTGTTCTTGTCAATTTGATCATCCACACCCATAGAAAGTATTAAAAAATAAGGAAAAACAGGTCTTGTTTCACACCGGGTGAGAATAGCCAATGCAGGCAAGTCTCACCCGGGGTGAGAGGTTCATCGTATTTTTATTCTCACCGCGGGTGAGAATAGTCACTTTCAAAAATAAAAAAACACTATGATTATTCTCACCAGGGGTGAGGATAAAATGTATACTATTCTCATCCCGGTTGAGAATAACGACAGCTGAGTATTCTCACCTGGTTTTTCCTTTTCCGCCCTTTTTATTTCGTTTCGGGCATCACAGGACCCCCCCCCACCCCCCGTCACTGAGTGCTCCAGGTGACAAAACTCGCCTCCCTCTTTCACTCCACTGAGTGCGCGAGGTGACTAAATCGCCAACAGGTGGGCCAGTTCTCGAGCTGGGGGAAAACCTTATCTTTTGAGCAAATATATCGTCACCTTTTGTTTCTATTATTGGTTCTATAATTGAAAATTCTACTCTTGAAAGGTTTAACCAATCAAAATCAAGAAAAAATAAGCCTAGGGTCAAGGCACTGCGTGCCTTCGTGGGTTCGGTTCAGTTAGGGATAACATGTTTATTGTTTTGTAAACAAATCCAATTCTAACATTACAATGACATACTATTACTAATATTCTTTCACTAAACAGCTTTCAGTTAAGGCTATTATTTTTAAAAACATACTACTCTGGCAAGTGATTTTCTTTCTGAATTTAGCATATACACTTTTCTACGGTTTTGGTGAAGATATGCGTGCCGCATGCATACTCTCAAGATTTTAAAAAAATGAAAGAATAACATTCCCGGCCGGAGCCTAAAAAACTTGGCCAGTGCTCAGGGGCAGGTCATGAACGGTCACTCTAATATTTCACAAATTATTTTCTATCATCCTATTAGCCTACCCGTACTCAACATAGGCACAGGTAAGAATAAAAATCCTTTCCATTCTCAGACCGGGTGAGAATAATATCCATTTCATTCTCAACCGGGGTGAGAATAACAAATATTATTCTCAGCGCGGGTGAGAAAAAATGGATTTATATTTTTATTTTCACCTCGGGAGAGAATAACAACAGCCAGAAAAAAACACCTAATGCAGTGGCTGCGTTCACGGTGCCCTGAATGCAGTTTGCAGGCGCTGTTGAGGCTGCGTTCACGGCACTCAAGCTTCGTTTCGGGGGAGCGTCCACTGCCGGTTTAAGTCAGCCGATGACAGTGACGTATATTTAATATTTTGGCCAGCTTCAAGTGTTCCATCCCATGAGATGAAAGAAAACGAAGCGCCCTTACAGAATTAAAGTCGGGATATGGGACATAATGGAAAATTGGATACGGTACATGGGAAACAAGAGGTAAGAGAAGGGAAAGAGAAGGTGAGATTCGGAAGACGGGACTGGTCATGAAATGTAGAATAATTAATTATTGCACTGGGTCAGCCCGGGAACCGACGCAGAGAGAAAATGACGCGAATCAATTATTCTTGTAAATTATAATAACAAACACCCTCTCTCAGCTCTCTTTCTGTCTGCCTCTCTCTCCCTTTTTTCTTAAACCTTCTCTCTTTCTCTCCCGCCCCCTCTCTCTCTGTCTGTCTCTCCCTACCTCTTTTTCTCCCCCCCCCCCCCCCCCCACCCTCTCTCTCTCTCTCTCACACACACACACACACTGCCCGCAGACAAAATTGCACACTTTCAACCTGAAAGCGCTGGAACATTTGTTTACACTCGTATATATATATATGGGCCGTCACGCGCTAACACAAGGAAACGTCGCGCCCAAGTCTCGCCCGGACGCGAGATCAGGCAATTGAAACTTGTTGGTAGGGCCTGGGTAGATCTATACATTTCTGTCATAGATTTATGGAACTGGCTATCCTCACCAGGAGTGAGAATAAAAATACGATTGACCTCTCACCCCGGGTGAGACTTGCCACCGTTGGCTATTCTCACCCGGTGTGAATCAAGACCTGATTTTCCTAATTTCGGACTACTGCCTATCGGTGTGGATGATCAAATTGACAAAAGCTAAGAAAAAATTACGTTATTGCATAAAAGTAAGCTAATTTGCTGGTCTACAAAGATGCTATGGCTATTTCACTTTTTGAATCGAGCCGAACTGTATTTGCACACATGACAGCCCCCAACTCTAAAGATGCAATAAATTCCCTGAGTAGAAGAGAACAAGTCACGATGTTTCGCCTGCGAACACAACACATATCACTAAATTCCTACCTTAATAGGACCCGCAAGGATACCCCACCCGACTGCCCGTTGTGCGACTGCCAGGATGAAACAGTACCACACCACCTCTTTAACTGCCCAGCACTTTGTGATCTGCGTAGCACCTACCTACCTGCCTCCCCAGACATCGGAAACACTCTATACAGCGACAAAGCACAGCTGATTAAAACCTGTCCATTCTTTGCCATATCGACAGACCGAAGGGCTAGAACCCAAATGGCCGCTGGATCGGAAAAGTAAAGTAAAAGTAACATCATTTAAAAATTTTGTTCTGGTCAATTTGATCGTCCACACCGATAGACAGTATTCAGAAAGAGACAGAGAGAGAGAAGAGGGGAGGAGTAGATCTTGCGAGAACTTCCGGGCAAAACAAAATGGCGACCCGCGTAGGTCGGCTCGATTCGAAAAGTGAAATAGCCATAGCATCTTTGTAGATGATCAAATTAGCTTACTTTTGCGCTATAAGTAATTTTTTCTTTGCTTTTATCCATTTGATCATCCACACCCATAGAAAGTATTCCGAAATTACGAAAAACAGGTCTTGTTTCACACCGGGTGAGAATAGCCAACGGTGGCAAGTCTCACCCGGGGTGAGAGGTCGATCGTATTTTTATTCTCACCCCGGGTGAGGATAGCCACTTCCCTGCGCTATGCTCTATTCTCACCCGGGCTGAGAATAGAGGTGGCCTAGATTCATATCCTAATGTGTAGTTGCGCAAATGAGAGTTTGTCGTTTTCCCTTACACTGGTGAGCTCTTAGCCAGAGCTCAGTGTAAGGGAAAACGACGTACGGTCGATCAGCCAAGGATCACTGCTGCTGCACTTCGTTTTCCTTTTATATTTATCTCATGGGATGGAACGCTTGAACCAGGCCAGAATATTAAATGTCACTGTTGTCACTGACTAAAACCGGCTAACTTAAACTGGCAGCGGACGCTCTCCCTAAACAAAGCTTAAGTGCCGTGAACAGCGCCTGCAAACTGCATTCAGGCCGTGAACGTAGCCACTGCACTGCTAAAAAAAAAACAACCTCTGATTTGCTTTGACACAAGAGAAATGTTGTCTTCCAAATTTTTGAAAACATTTTCTTGTTCATCCGACACGTTTCCTGCCATTCTTGTCAGATCTAGAATCTAGCAGTTACTGGTACTGATACAGTCAACTTTCAGATTTCACTCGAGCACGCAATAGCAATGTGTGCCTGACTTAGGCCCACTTGTTGACATTTGCTCACTCCTTCGGTTTTTATCACATTCGGTGGCGGTTCTCCTTGATCGAGTACAATGTACTTTCGTTCTTCGTACTTTTCGACGTACTTTTTATAGAGTGACATAACATTATTATAATAATGGTTGTTCTTTTGATTCAATGAGGTTTTTAAAGTATTTTTTAGAGGCATTAAAACTCAGAAATAAACATATCAAAATTAGTTTGATATCAGATTTTAGACAAAATATATGTTATTTTTCAGATGTAAAATTGTTAACAATAATTATAATGATAATGAACAGATTACCCATGGAACTAAGACAGACAAGAGCACTTGATAGCTTCAAAAGATATTAATAAGCATTTTCTGTTCCTACAGGCCTATCCTTCATAAGCTTTTAGAGTTATTTTTTAAATTATAGATTTAGTTTTCTGTGTCTATGTCTGAATGAAAATAGTCTTTGTGTGTGTGTGTGTGTGTGTGTGTGTTTGTGTGTGTGTGTGTGTGTGTGTGTGTGTGTGTGTGTGTGTGTGTGTGTGTGTGTGTGTGTGTGTGTGTGTGTGTGTGTGTGTGTGTGTGTGTGTGAGGAAATATATATTGCATGAGAAGATAGGAAGTAGTAAGCAAGGTTTTGAAAATGAGTATTCCAATGTAAAACGCATTGAGCTACTTTTTTGGAAATGCGTTATATAAATATTAATGTTATATATTTTTTATATTATTATTATTATTATTATTATTATTATTATTATTATTATTATTATTATTATTATTATTATTATTATTATTATTATTTAGACCAATTAGACGAAGGATAAAAGAGACGAAACCTGCTGTAAAAAGTATGCAATGCCTTATTGGCTGCGTCAAAATTTTCATAGTTATTTTTTCTGCTTCATTTTACATATTTCATAAGCCCATTTTTGACCTTTGAAGACTGTTGTAATTCTGCTGCTGACTTAGAATTTAAAACATTGAAATAGAAAAGATTATTAAAAGTCACCAAGATACAATCCTTTCGATACAATTTTTTCGAAATCTTTTTTTACAAACGTGAAAAATCAGTCTGGGAAGAGAAAGAACAGTAACTCTACTTGCAAATGTGAAGAGATCTAATTGTTACTTAAAATTAACGCAAATTTTTGCTCTTGCGGCCTGCGGCTCCTGCGGCGAGCCTTACTAAGAAGATAGATCTAAGAACGTAAGTTTTGTGGTTAAGTAATAATTTTATTTTAGATTATAGGGTAAGATTGAAGAATACCCCGGACCAGCGGACTGACTTTGCCTATGTCTCAACCTTAGCCTTAGCCATAGGAATTCATGATTTTCCCCAGTTTTTATATCTCTCAATGGATCAACAATGGAGAATCTCAAATCTCGGGTATCTCGGTCCGGTAGATGTAGAAAATCTAGATTCTAGATTCTATTTATTAAAATTTTGTTAGGGGGGAGACCCCCCTGAACCTCCCCACCCCCTCTTCCACCCCAACCACCCACCCCACATTCTCGCGCAATATTAATGTGTATACGAGTGGTCCGGTATTCTTCAATCAATCTTCCCGATTATTATTATATAGATATCTATAGAATCTAGATTCTTAGTGTTACTTTCCTTAAGTTTAATTGTAGTGTGATACTTCTCATCTTCTACCAAAATACCTTTTGTGATGCATTGTCATTGATGATAAAAATAAGTCTGTACTGTATTTATTGTACGAAGTGGCTAGCCGTACTTAAGTACGGCTAGACTGAGAGTCTAGCCGTACTTAAGTACGGCTAGACTGCCAGTCTAGCCGTACTTAGATCTAGGTTTGGCCCAATCGACTAAAACCTGTTAAGTACACAGGTCTCATTAGATCTAGATCTAGTAATTATTCAGGTTCAAATACATGAAAGTCAGTAAGGCACCTTTTGGTTTTGTCTGAAATACAAATACTTTTGGCATTGCAAACTAAAAATTTCATTTACAATTCAGCCATCAATATTAAGTACGGCTAGCCTGACAGTCTAGCCGTCCTTAAGTACGGCTAGCCTGGCTGTCTACCCGTACTTATCTTAGGCCCTATTAACATTAGAAAACAGGAGGTTTAAAATACATACACTGTCATTAAGGCACCTGGTTTCGTCTCAAATACAAATGCTTTAGGTACTGCACACTAAAAATGTATATTTACAATTCAGTAGGCCTATTTCTTGTAAATGGTCAGTCTAGCCATCATATTAAGAATAAGTACGGCTAGACTGCGAGTCTAGCCGTACTTAAGTACGGTTAGACTGCCAGTCTAGCCGTCATTAAGTACGGCTAGCCTCTTCCTTTATTGTAACGTTACCTACTTTGACATTATTGATAGATCATCGGTTGTCTTGTATCCGTTTGTTTAAGTCCACAATCCATTTGTTTACATCCAGAGAAGAAATCCGGAAGCCTTGATGACCAAATAGGCAACACAAAGAACAGGGAGGCAACCTCTGCAAAGGAAGTGGCTATTCTCATCCGGGGTGAGAATAGAAAAACGATCTACCTCTCACCCCGGGTGAGACTTGCCAGCGTAGGCTATTCTCACCCGGTGCAAAACAAGACCTGCTTTTCCTCATTTTGGAATACTGTCTGTCGGTATGGATGATTAAATTGATAAAAGCCAAGAAAAAATTACGTTATAGCACAAAAGTAAGCTAATTTGATCGTCTTCAAAGATGCTATGTCTATTTCACTGTTCGAATCGAGCCGAACTATGCGGGTCGCCATTTTGTTTTGCCCGGAAGTTCTCGCAAGATCTACTCCTCCCCTCTCTCTCTCTCTCTGTCTCTGTCTCTTTCTGAATACTGTCTATCGGTGTGGACGATCAAATTGACCAAAACAAAGTTAAAAAATGATGTTAAAACACAAAAGTAAATTAATTTAATTTGGTTGTCTACAAAGATGCTACGGCTATTTAACTTTTCGAATCGAGCCGAACTACGCGGGTCGCCATTTTGTTTTGACCGGAAGTTCTCGCGCTACTCCTCTCTCTCTCTCTTTCTCTCTCTCTCTCTCTCCACTGCCCACAGACAAAATTGTACGCTTTTAGTAGGCTACAGTTGTAATGGAATGTTTGTTCACGGCACAGAATTCTACAATTTTTCTGTTATCACAGTGTAGAATTCTGTGGTTTAGGGTGAACGCAAAATTTGTTGGCCTAGATCTAGGCTATAACGGTGAACGCGCACCGGGTGAGAATAGCCAAAAGACTCGCCTGCACTATTCTCATCCTGGGTGAGAATAGAGGTGGCCCTCTGCAAAACATCAAATTATAGGCCTAATGGTAAAATTCAGGGAACCCCCCTCCACCCCTAAACACCCCCCTCCATATTTTTATAAGGCATAAGGTCAGGGGGGCAAGTACCCCTGAAACACCCCCCCCCCACTCTTGACTCTTAGGGTCCAAACCGACAAATAATTTGAATTTGTGTTATTTTATTGAGGTTTTTATGTCCAACAGATACGTGTACCATCACTTTCATCTACTACGGATCTGACGTAAATTTGAATTGCAAAGATGTCAACTTCTGCTACCAAAGTAAGTTTTTAATGTTATTTTTCATTAGAATAAGTTCACATTGTCATTGTTGACATAAAAATGACATGAATATGGCTCACTTTATCACTCAACAAAGACTTTGTAATATGGAATTTGTTAAACATGAAATTCACTACTGCAAGGTTTTTTTTCTCTTTTTACTGCGATTTTATGCATTGCAACTTCTCTTTTACATGAAATCTGCTTAATGAAATTCTTTAGTTACATGAAATTTATGTTATAAAATATCAGATTTTATTGTTCAGAGTTAAACCTCTTTAGACTGTCTACCTTGGAATGAGAATATATGGTTCGTGGTAAAGTGGAGCTGGTGGTATACAGTGAAGCTCAGATTCAACGAGAACTCAGATTCAACGAGAGGACATGGATTCCCCGGTTTTTTCCTTCTTTAAAATCAATAACAACAACCTGGATTCAATGAACACTTAAATCAGCAAGCTCGGATTCAATGAGGTCGCTTCCAGGGAGAACGTCCCCCCCCCCCCCCCCCATCATCCACTGATGCACAAGACACCCTTTGAAAAGCTTAAATGAATGTGTCAGAAGTAACAAAAGATGCCATCTGAGTAAATAATAGAAGTGTGGCATGGTGAGGACAACACTTTATGACATTGTGTATGATGAAGTTTTTGGACTTGTGATAGTGCTGCAAGTTTGGTAATTTTTAAAAACGTTTCATAATATTGCCATTGTGTGTGAACCTAGCTTTAAAAGCCTTTTGTATTCCTGTATGCTAAATTGAATTATGATCAGTCTGTGTGCTGTTGACAATTGCATTTTTTACTGGTTTTGATACCAACAGACTTTAATTTAAATTGATGTATACATGGAATTTGCAAGTGCTCGCTTCTTCTTCCCACCACCATCATATTCACCCCCCCCCCCCCCCCCCCTTTCTCTAAAACAGCCTCAAGGTAGTGGTGACCATGCCCAAGCTGTGGCAGAACATTACAACCAGTTGCAGGAAACTGGTTTGGCTCAAAGAACTCGCAGTCGTATTTTTTACCTCCGCAACTTTAACAACTGGGTCAAGAGTGTTCTCATAGGTATGACATTATGCTGTCTGAGATAGACAAAAATATAGAGGTGACTGGAAAATTTAGAGACTACTATAAATTTATTTAGCTTCAGTTGCTTTTATGACTTGATAAGTTTTGAAGGTTCTTAGCTGATACTTCTGTTTCGCTATCTTGAAGCATGTAAGTTTTGATGATCTGCCTTATTTGAGGTTTGCTAGTGAAAATCGTGACGACATAATTCTTGAAATCTTTTTCGGTTTAGAAGTGGGATCATTTCGGCTGATTGATTGTTTTCTTACAAAGACAAGGCAGAAGAAGATTTTATTTTCTTTCAGTGTACCTCAGTTTTCGGATCAACTATGTTTGGTTTAAGTAGACTGCCATGTATTTATAATAAATGATTATGGCTTGTGAGTGTACAAGTTTTGTATCTGCTTGTTTTTATTGTTTTCCCTTTCATGTTATCCTCAGCTGACACTTTGGACAAGATTCGCGAACAGGATCGCCACAAACACATCTCAGTTCTTGATCTGGCCTCAGGGAAGGGAGGGGATTTACTGAAATGGAAAAAAGGGAGAATTAGTAGTTTAGTGTGTGCAGGTAAGTGCCTGACTATGTAGCAGACATATAACTGATATCATCGCCTTGTGAGCTTAATGGTGAATAGTGTCCCCTCCTCAAAATCATAAAAAAGTGGTAAAAAGTAAAAGTAAAGCTGTTCCTGCATCCGATCCGGACATTTTGGATTGCCTTGTTAATGAGACAACTTCCTGGGCCTTCGGCATAATGTGGTAGGGTGGCCAGTTCCTTTCCACGCTGCCTTTAAAAAATTGGTAAAGGAAGAAAAAAATATTTTTGTGCTTTGCTTTTTTGATTTTGAAAAAGGTGGGTGATCCCAACCTGTTCCCTAGCAGTGGCTTTTGAGTTTGCCAATACCAATGTGGCAACACTCTTGACCTTTTTGTAATTCCAGACCATGCAAAGCACTCCTTCTTTTGTATTTTAAAGCCATGACCCCTTTACCTGCTGTGAATGATGTGTCTTGAGTTCTCACTGGCAGAGTCCCACTGTAGTTCAGCTTAAGTGTGCCTATGAAATATATTTTTGCCCAAAAGGTATCTGAGCAAAGCCATTGAGGTATACAATTTATCACTGAAGACATGGAGACTAGGGCCAAGAGGATACAGTCTTTTTCGGGGTGTGGGTTTGAATTATTCAAGTGCCAAAATAGATGAGTTTTTACAAGATTCCTCTTTTGCTGTTCAAACGCCTTCAAGGTACTTTTCAGTTGAGTGGAGGATAGTGTGATAAATTATGTCAAAGTGATTTTGGCTATATATATTTGAAAGTCCTCTGCTTTTGATAAATTAGAATGATCATTGTGGAGTTGCCTTGCATTTAGTTTTGTTTTGTGGTTTTCGGCATTTAAATGTTGTTGGTGGGGGTTATTTTTTGCGGATCCAGATCACTTTTCGTATCACTCCTGATTTAGGAAAGGCAACAAGGTTGATCTATGTGGTCATTTTTTGTCAACTCAGTGTGTCGTATGTTTTTCATGTTTTCATTTATCTGCCATATATACTTAACTATATTCTATCTATTAACAGATATTGCTGCCACTTCTGTGCAACAGAGTGAGGAACGGTACAGACAGAATAGTCAGAGGGAAAAGTACAAATTGTTTGATGCAGAGTTCATTGTAGCAGACTGTACGAAGGTGAATTGATTGCTCGTTTTGATGTGTTGATTCAAGTTTTATGCAGAGATTGTGGATTATATGTTAATATTCTGAAGTTACAACACTGACCTTTATATTTACCATAGCCAGTCTGAGTAATAAGGCCTTTAATGTTTCAACATTAAAAGTTATTTATTGAGAAGTTGAAGAGGCACTCCAAACCCTCTTAAGTGTCCATCGATCTCTTGGATAATTGCGAAAAACCATTGCATGTTGCCCCCATTTGGACTTGTGGAAGGAACTTATCATGGACTCACCTTACTAGTCTAAAGCCCCTAGTGGTTAGGCTACCGGACTCGTAATCGTGAGGTTGCGGGTTCGGGGGTTCGAGCAGAGGTCCTGACGTTGTGTCCTTGGGAAAGACACTTTACACAAATTCTCCCCACTTCACCCAGGTGGGAAAGGGTACCCAGCTATAGACAGTGAAAGATCTTGTCGGTTTGTTAGTGTTTGAGCGCTTATCCGGCTGCTTGCACTGTATACTTCCCAGGAAGCTGAGAATGTTTCTAAGTGTTCCATGGTCTGCTGGGGTAATAATATAGTGTAAAGCGCATAGAGCTTGCTTTCGAGTGGGGACATGCGCTATACAAATGCTATTTATTATTATTTATTATTATTATTATTAAGAGTAGGTTACTTCCTTCTATTTCTCTCTCCTGTTATTCTCATTTAGCCACTGTTGCCGAAGATGCTTCTTCTTCCACTAGGAAACATTCTTCCATTTTGTCTGGAAATAGTAACTTTTTGTTAGCCCTGAACCAGGTGCATGTGAATTATTCACAGTTCCCCAGGTCTGGCCTAGTCTTTCAAATGCTTTACTATAGTGAGCAGTTCCATTGATATGTTAATAGAACACAAACCTCTTGATAAGCGAACAGAGGCTACCAACGCTGGAAGATACAACTTACAAGTGCAGCCACTGCACAGGGACAGTCATTCTCCTGTGGGCCTGTTCCGCCACAGCAAACGTTGCTCTCGAGAAATCTTGTATGGCGCAGATCCATAGTCTCCTGAGACTGAAGCAAACATAGTCAACTTTCTATTCTATCCTCAGGAAAGACTCAAAGATAAGTACAAGAGCACCAGACAGTCCTTTGACCTGGTCAGCTGTCAGTTCTCTTTCCACTACTGCTTTGAGAGCTACCAGCAGGCTATGATGATGATCAGAAATGCCTCTGAATGTCTTCGGCCAGGTGGTTATTTCATTGGGACCACACCAAATTCCTACGAACTTGTGTAAGTCAAAAGGATTTTTGTTTCGTTGTTAATCTGGTGCTGTGTAATTAAATTTTTTGAGTGTGTATCTTAAGCGTGTTTACTTTTTTCAGTTCCAGGTGAAGTCTACGCAAATTCTTAACAAACACAGAATGTTTCGTTTAGAAATGTCTTTGTTTTTTGAAGGAGTAGCTGTCAGGAGCCCCATTGTGGTTTGCCTAGTGTTGTAATGCCATTTTCCTTGTCTCATTCCTTTAAAATATGTTTTTCCATTTTCATGTTTCCCATCTGCTGTTATAGGCCTGGTCTTTTGATGAATATTTTCATGTTGTTCTTGTAAGCTGGACTGCTTTAGGTGTTGAAAAATGTTGAGAAATTTGGACACTTAGCTCTCTTTTAATTAATGAGTGTCACATTTGTTTTTCATACATCCGCAGACGGAGACTGAGAAATTCCCCAAATTCAACTTTCGGCAATGAAGTGTACTCCATCTCCTTCGCCCAGCAGGAGAAGAGTAACTTCCCTCTGTTTGGTGCAAAGTACAATTTCCACCTGGAAGGTGTGGTGGACTGTCCAGAGTTTCTAGTCTACTTTCCTGCCTTGGAGAAGTGAGTGATGGTTGTGATTACCTCTTTCTTAATTCTTTCTCAAGAACATATTGCAACCAAATCTCTTTTTTCCCATCTCATTCAAATAATAATTGCATAATGTCTTTACAACTTCTCAAAGCCCATCACCAGTTACACAGCTCTAATACTGTTGTTATTTCACAATTTTTACATTCTTATTTAAGCTACTCATGCTTTGTTTAAACATTTTGGTCTTTATTTTTTACTCTTGCTTGTTTTTTAAATCTTTACTACTCACAAACTGATTATTTTTTTTTACATATAATGAAAATATATTGTTTCAATAAAAGTAGGAAAAAAAAATATGTTCTAGTACACAATAACAGTGATTTTTGAGGAGAAGAATATACACTTCATTATTCTTCCTCAGTTATTTCTTCCCCCATTCACCACCTCCCACACTAAGTGACTGATATCATACTGGTGCTCAAAACAAACAAACCTTTCTACCCTCCTCAACATTTTCCCCTCAGCTCTTTAAGTAGAATTTAAAAGTCCTGTTATTGATGCCATGTTCTCTGTCTCAGGATGGCTGCCCAATTCGGCATGAAGTTGGTGAAGAGAATCCCCTTTGCTGATTTCTTCGAGGCACATTGTCAAAGTCGGGAGAACTTGAAGTTGCTTGAAAACATGCAGGCTCTTGAGGTACAGCATTAAATTGTATTGGATGTACACACAGGATTTTGTGATCATGTGTGCAAGTATTTTAGTGCCTATAAAATGGCAGCTTGCACTGTATGCTTCCCAGGAAGTTGAGATTGTTTCAGAATGCTATCAGGTCTGCTGGGGTAATGATATAGATTGCAAAGCACATAGAACTTGCTGTTGAGCGGAAATTTGTGCTATACAAATGCTGTAATAGCTATTGTTATTATTATTATTATTATTATTATTATCATGCTGAATTGATACTAACGTGTATATGTTCTTGAATTTGAGCTTGGAAAAGGAGACAATAAAAAAAAAACAACCTTTGACATGATATGAATGAAATGTACAACTGTGTAGTTTGAACATGTTTGTTTTTTCTTTGCTGTAAACTCTACTAGTAATTGTCCAAGATAGTTCTATACCCTCTGCTACAGGAGTAAGGTTCTTTGGCCATGTTTTGTAATAAAGAGAAGTCTGCTCATGATGACCTATCAGTGGTATCTGGGACTGCACTTTTGATTCTTCGTTTTACATAAAATTGATTGCACCTATATCGAGAAAACTACAATTTGGCAGCTGCACTATTAGTTTTCTTTTTGCTTTAAGGAGGTTTTTTTTTTTACTTACTAAACTCATGCTCATGAATTTGAATCATGTCTGAAGTATTGACTGGTTACTGTGATAATCTATTTCCTATAGAGTGTTTTGTGGGTGGCTGGTGGTTGCTCTGGTGTAGTTTGCTCCTTCTTTCCTATCAAACATCTTCTATTGTCCTTATCTCTCCTCCTTTTTTGTGTGTGTATGTTTTGTTACTCTCTTGTGACACCTCCAATCTTAAGCACTTTTATGACCTCATTGTGATGCCAGTGATATAAAGCTCTTACTTAAATTTTTTAAAACTTAAAGTTTTTATCATCAGAATTTTATTGAACTTGGTTTTCAGTCATGTGTCATGCATGATTTGAGATTGGTGTGAGGTATTCTTCAGTTGGGGGGAAGGGGGGCTATCTGCTTGTGTAAATGTTTTTTCAGACTTGATCAACACACAGAACTATGGATTCAAAGCCAGGTGGATTCCAAATATTCCTTTTGTCAATTAAAATGTTTTATCTTTGTCTAGTGCCATGTCAAAAAAAACTTAGTTCACCACTTGTAAAATATTAACTGTCCTATTATTTTAAAAGAAATTTATGTAAAAAAAAAAAATCATGTTTTTTCTCACATTACATATTTTTTTAATTTGCTGTGTCTTTCTCAGCCATACCCTCCCATGGAAGGCACAGAACTGGTCAGTTCCAAGGCTGAGGATTATTCCTCAGTGAAAAAATTTTACAACTCAGTCGTAGAATCCCAGTCCTCGGACCATTCCCGCTCGTCAAAGAAAATAGTAAGAAGAGATTAAACATTTTTATATTTTATATGTAAGATTCACAAGTACATTCTTTCAGTTCAGATTTCTCACTTTGCACATGTTGGATGTGTAAAGATTTGTGTGAAATGGCTTCAAAGAAATGTTTTTGCCAGCTGGACACATTTATTCTCGTTTACTGTGAGTTAAAATTTTGTGCTTTTTAAAAAGAGAAAATGTATCCCTCTGCTTGTGCTTGTTTCTATTGGTCCTTATCTCACTTCACTGTTCCTGCCATGGCCAGTCTGTGGGTGGTTGGCGGGTGCTCTGGTGTGGTCTGCTTCTTCTTTCCTATCATACATCTATCGTCCTTATCTCCCCTTCTTCTTTTTTTATGTTTGTTACTCTCTTGTAACACCTCTAATCTTCTGGCGCTCATATGACCTTATGCAGTTGCGAGCGCCGTAAAACCTCTACTACTGCCCTGGCCAGTCTGGGATCTTAATGTTCTTCCAGTATTCGCCATTTTCACAGTAAAAAAAAAATTATCAGGAAGGTAAAAATTGAGCTGTTGGCTTCATTTTCGGCTCATATAATGCTACATGTCTCCTCTGTGTAATATTTTAAACTTAACTAAGTTATCATGAAAACTTTTTTTCCACAAATTTTTAAAGTACCCTACTATTTAAATTTTCAGTTTAAGAAAATATTTGTGCTCACTGAATATGACAAGTTAACACCAAAATTAAATTATGGTAGCTTAAAAATATGAGATCTTGATCTAGATATCTTTATTTTCCTTAATTATTATGATACTGTCAAGATGTAGTCAGGCCTGTAGGCTTCAACACATTACAAAAGTGAAAATAGTGTTTCATCAAAACTTCTTCTGTATATTTGAGATCTTCATTTCCGGTTAGGGAAATAATTAAACTAAAGATTCATACAAGAATTATATTGTATTATTAGATAGTATTCTTGGGAAAAAATGTGAAAACCCGTCCCTGTTTATGTTTGGGATCTGGACTCGGTGAGTTAAAGAAGAGGGGCTGTGTGGAAACAGTAAATTTGTTGAGTGTGGCTGTCTCTTCGCACCCTTCAGATTTTCTTTCAATTAAAAAAAATCTTTTTGTGATCAGTTTTTCGAATATTCAGCACACTGAGCATTGTTTTCTCTCATCCATTTTCTCAGGGTACATTGTCACAAGATGAATGGGAGGCTGCCAGTAAGTATTCTTTTAGTGTAGTATTTGTTGCTTTCCTTTCAGGCTTCCACTGTGCCTTTTTCCCTCTTAATTATTTTAGTACAATGGAAACCTGATATAAGAGGGATGGTGGGATCAGAGAAAAAGTCGTGTTATATCAAATCCCTGTTAAATCAGAAATGCAAGGGAAGTAAGCATTTGTAGACTAATCCAGCTGTATTTATTCATGGGTAATTTCCCATGTACTGCGCATGACACATTATGCATGCGTGTAGCAAGGCTTAGGGCTAGATCGAAATCTGCACTACATTGCAGGCCTCTCTCGCTTCACCCGCTGCGTGTGCTTGCAGTGGCGTGGTTTACGTGGGCTTGGTCCATCACTTCGTCTCTCTCTCTCTCTCTCTCT